AAAGCACCACACACTAATCAAGATAATTCAAAAATCATAAATTTTTCATGATCATTTTCATGAAAAAATTTTCATGATCCCTAACTTTTCCCTAAAGAGTTATGAGAATCCATCCGTCCCATGCATCAAAATGGCTAAGCTTTTATGATTTAAAATTCGTTTCTTTTCTTTTCTTTTTCTTTTTTTATTTTTATTTATACATTAAAAAACATGTGTAAACAAAAAAAAAATAACACCCTTCTATTACACAAAAGCGACCCCAAATACGTCTAGAAAAATTGCCACCCCACCTACGAAGGATGACACTTTTTTTTAGAGTCGAACAAAGAGTCACTCTTAATATTTTTTCTTTTTCTTTTTAACATAGCCCTTTCTATTTTTCAATCATTAATGGTAGATACCCTAAAATCTTTCTTAAATTTAAAAAAAAAAACTTTCCTGTAAATATCCTCATTGAAATAAATTTAAGAGGAATGTCTTGAAAGTTTTAACTATTTTCCTTTTTCAACTAGAGCTAGCTATCATACGGGTAGGGTTGTAAACGAACCAAATTGTTTGCGAACTGGCTCGGTTTGGCTCGTTTACTAAACGAACTCGTTTTTTTATTTAAATTGCATAATAAATATATTTTTTATATATCAAATAATATAAGTATAAATATATTATTTATATATTAAATAATAATAAAAAAATTCTTATCGAGTCAAGCTGAACCGAATTCAAGTTTTATTAATATTAACGAATCGAGCTAAGCTCTAACCCAATTAGTTATCGAGCTGAGCTTGAACTCAATAAACGAGTTCGATAAATAAATAAACCGAGTTCGTATTCAATAAAACTTGACTCAACTCGGTTCGTTTGCAATCCTATAATCAGGTTATCATTTTGACTATGAGTAAAATTTTCAGAAATCAGGTTATCATTTTGACTATGGATAAAATTTTCAGAAGAGGAGGTTGCAACTCAGTTACAGTTAAATCTCAGTTAATGAGTACCATGTATAAAATTAAAAAAAATAAAAATAAAAAACAAAAATAAATAAACAAACAAACAAACTTCAGTTAATGAGTAGGTTGACTAAAGCAAAACCAAACGAACAGGCTCGGCCCTCCGAGTCAAATCACGACATAGTAGTAAAGACGTCATCTGACTACAATATTAAATAAAATCATTGGATAATTAATTACTAGCAAATTTGTGAGAGACTTACGTACCTTTGAACTCAATGCTGCGTTTCATGACAGGCGAAGGAGAGGATGACTCGTCCTTGTAGAACGACGAGTCGAGTACCGATACTGTACTCTGTTGCAACTCAGTCCCACTCGTCATCTCCGCTATACTGTGTAGCAGCTTATCGCACCTCTCCAAGAGACTCCTCCCTCCTTCCATCTTTGATCTCTTCAACCCCCACAAAATTATTAATCAAACTAATTAGAAACAATTAATCAAAATTAAGTGATAATTGAAGTTAATTAATTAAAATTAAACCCAGTTTAATGCATGTACCTCTGCCGGAAATGACGGTAGTGAAAGTGTCACGGTCTCTTCTTCTTCATCGTCACTCTCGTAACCACAGAAACCACTGTCGGCCAAGGAAGTGGGGATAGAGTGTCGTGTCGGCGTCGGAGGAGGAGGAGGAGGGAAGACCTCGTCTTCGGAATCGCCGGAGATGGAAGTGGTGATAGGCTGTCGTGTCGGCGGAGGAGGAGGAGAGAAGAGTTCGTCGTCGCTGGAGATGGAGGAGCTGTAGTCGCGACGTGGCGTCTCGTCCCACTTGCATGGCGGTGATTCGGGGAGGTTGTCTTCGTGTGTGCGCAACCCACAGACTAAGAAGGAGGAGACGCGGTGCTTGAAGGAGCGGTGGGGTTTTTTGAAAGGGAGGGGGGTGGCCGGCTGGCTGTCAACGAAGAGAGGGCTTGGGGAGAGTTGGATAGGATTATGTGGGATATTGGACGGATGTTTGGAGCGGCTCAATTTGAAGGAAGATGTGACACGGGAGATGAAACCTTTGAATGCCATTGAATTGTTTTGTCTCTCTTTCTCTTTCTCTCTCTCTTTGTTTGTTGTCTCTGTAAGCTATGCAATACAATACGGCCATGTTTGTTTGGGCGGACTAGATTAACATTCCCATGACTAATAGTCCTAGGACAACCAATCTGTTGGATTATGTATCCTATCTTAACTAATAGTCAAGTTTAAAATAATTAATCCGTACTTCAATTGTTTAACCAAACATCGAATTAATAATTTTATTGGACTATTAGTCCAATCCCAAGCTCATGTCCACCCAAACAAACATGGCCTACGTATATATAGATATAGGGGAACGAAGGTGAATCAATGAAGATGATGGAAAATTTTATTATTAAAGGAAAATATTTTTATAAGGCAATGAAAGAGGAAAATTTTATTATTACAGGAAAATAATTTTATGAGACAATGAAGATCTAGGAAAATTTTATTATTAAACGAAAATATTTTATAAGGCAATGAAGATCAATCAATAAAAGAAAAATATTATTATTAAAAGAAAATAATATTACAAGGAATATTAATATTATTATGTATTTTTATTTTGAAAAAAAAAAAGAAAAGTTTGAATCGTGATCAATCGTGCATTCTGAAATAGTGGAATGTAATTTGTAAAATAAATTGAAGATTTTTAATATTTTACCAATATATATTCTTTAAAAAAAATTTAAAGTTGAGCCCCATTTCTGAGTTTGCTTTGGGTCTCAAAAAATTTAGGCCGACCCTACCATATGGGCCTGGATCATTCTGGCCCATGAGGCTGTGAGTATAAACACAAGAAGTCAAACCACATTTGGTTGTTTAGTAGCGAGAGTGAGGACCTAAACAAGACAACCAACGGATGCTTGAAATATTAACCAACAATTAAATGTCCTATTGAGACACATTTAAGAGAATGTTATGAAATTCCTTAGAAAATTAACACAACACAACAATCATTCAATGGAAATGAGGTAATGTTAATTTTTGGGCAAATTGTAAATATATTCTCTAAGATTGGATTAAAATACAAAATCTCCTCTTGTGGTTTTAAAAATTAAATTTCAACCCTGAGATTTCTAATTTTATTTATGAGTTGAAATAGTTAATAAAATAAAATATTATATTATATTTATAATTATTATTTTATTTTTTTCTCATAATCCGCAACTTAATTATTAAAAAAAAATTAATCAACTTCACAAACGTGGGCTTGTTTGGTTTGTTTTTGGGAAAGTTATTTTTGAAAAAAAATTGGAAGAGTTATTTTAGAAATTTTTTTGGTTTGTTTGGTTGTATATTTTGAAAGAAAAATTTTTTGTGGGAGTTTGAGATGATTTGATATTTTGGACAAATTGAGTAGATGTGTGTGAGAGAAAAAGTGATTGAGAAGGAAAGAGGAGAGAGAAAAAGTAATTGATTGATGTGTAAGAGAGAGAAGTGATTTTGAAATTTTTTTGAGAAAAATCTCAAACCAAACAATTTTTTGAATTTTTTTTTTCTAAAACTCATCTCTAAAACTTAAACCAAACAAACTATGTTAAAATAATTAAAAATCTAATTAAAATAGTTAACTTCTCAAATAAGGCTAAATATTTATTTTTTTTAAAGTTAATTTTGGAATAACACTACATAATTCAAAAATTAGTTTTCTCAATGACAATTAATCAATTTTTGATATTGATTTTCAAATCATCTAATAATTTTGTTCATAAAAGTAAATTAAACTCACTTTTCTTGTAATTTAAAAATAATATAGTTAATTTCACACTTTTGACATAACTCCCTCAAAATTTTATTTCACATCATACTTACACTTTTTTCATCAATAATTTATTAGTCGTATGATTGAAAGTAATGATATTATCTCTTTCTTACTAAAATGTATATTTATTTTTATTTGTTTCAGTGTCTACTTACTATTGACTTTAGTTTTAGAAGTTTTAATCATACTAAAAGGGATATTACTGTAATTATGTCAAAAGTATAAGAGTGTCTGTATTTTCTTTAAATTTCAAGGGAAATGAGTGTAATTTATCCAAAAAAACAAAAGAAAGTATGAATTAAGATAATAGGGTTTGTGTCATTTTAGTATTTTACCCTCTTTCATCTTTAAAATTATCAATTTTGAATAATTATTCGTTAAATCATTGGCATTAATTCATTAATATTTTTCTGACCAGATTTAAAAATATTTTTATGTACATAATTTGTTTAATTTAATTGAATCTAAAAATAATAATTTGTCACAATTGATTTTTACTCTATGTTTTATTAAAGAGAGAGTCTACCATTCCAAATATAACAACTATCCAAATTTTTCTGGATATTGTCTTATGTGATAAAGATTAAATTAGTATAAATGTAGAGGCATATGCAAATGAATCTAAGTCATAAATTAATGTATCTGAGTAAAATTCATGACAAAATTTTTGAATAGTGTGTTTTATAGTGAAGATTGAATTGGTATTAGTGTAGAGGCCATATATAAATAAATGTAAATCGATATTTCCAAATAAAATTTCTAGGTTCATACTATTGATGTTCTTAAATATTTTTAAAACAACTTATTTTGTTACATGGTATGTCAATATCTATTTATTATGGGCAAAATGAATAAAAACTTTCAACCAATCGAGTGAGTCAACATATGTAACATTGTGTTAAAGATACTAATTAATAATTTAAATGAAATAAACACACACAGTTTTAAAAAATAATTTTTCAAATTCATAGTTTGAATTAAGTAGTAGAGATTAATTTCATAAAATTTATCTCACAAAATAAGCATACTGATGTCCATGTCATCACAAATCTTACTCAGGATTAGAGATTATGCCAGTTTGCTGCTTCTGAGTAGTAACTTGGGGTGAAACATATATCAAACATATGACATTTGAATCAATTTTCACTATAGATATAAATTTCCAATAAACAATAAATGATTTCATAAATATAGCTTATTTGAAATTACAATCAAGACCAACAGCTACGCCGCATCTTAAACAAGTTTCATGAAAAAAAAATTAAGAAAACAAATAACTCAAGTGCAAAAAGATAAATGATTCGGGGTACGATACGCAACTCAAGGGAAATGGTGCTGAAACAAGATATAACAAAAGATAAATGATTCAGGACACGATACGCAACTCAAGGGAAATGGTGCTGAAACATGATATAACAATGGGCGGAAATAAATCAACTATGTAGGTGAGAATTTAACGCCTCCCAGATGCCACTGATTCAGCAGAGAAGAGGTACTTCACTCGTGAAAGAACAGAATCATGTGTAGGATCGTAAGGATGGTCCTTGGAAGGAATCTCCAAAATTGCTGGAACTGGCTTATTGTAGCTATCCACTAGAAACCTTATCATGTTTGCAACCTGAAGATGAGCAGAGGGTGATGTTTTGTTTCAGAAATCAGATGAGAACTGAAAAGGCACAGCAATGCAAAATCCAAGTCCTCACTTGCCTCTTACTACCATTACTACTAACAAATGTGTGGGACTTGGTCATTCATCTGCTAATCAGCTTTTTGATAGTCAGGTTTTTTCAACTTATTTAAATTATTTATGCCCAATAAACTGTAAGCATAAGCAACACTAAACAATCTAACATAGACTTTCTAAATAAAATAAAAACTATAAGCAGCTTAGATAATTTGCACCAAATAGCCAGAATATTCTGAAACCCTGACTGTTGAGCAAACGGAAAAGGAAAAGTGAATTGTGACCTATGATAAGTGAATGTTAGTAGCAAAGTTAAAATTATAGCCATAATGGCCTGTAGCAAAGTCATTGACATTCACTAATTGCCAGAAAATAAATAAAACCCACTGTCAAATGTCATATGATATTAGTAAGTGTAAAAAGTGCATGTTTAAAAATTCAATTTTTCCATGACGAAGAAGAAGAAACAAAGAGCATCTTATGGTTCTTGTGACATGTCTAATATGATATGGACGTCCACCATTTTAGTCAAATTTCTTAATTATCATATGCATAACAGAGGAAGAGCATATAAACCAATTCAAAAATTGACATTGTAGAATAAACAAACTTACAAATTGACTGATCATCACTATTGCAATGTCCTCTCTTGTTGTGAACTCTTTGAATGCATCCTCAATTTGTTTCACCGTTGTTTCTAAACCATAATAAAATAATCTCTGTAAGCCAAGGTAAGAATATCCACAAATTCAATCAAATCAACACTGGAAAAGAGAAGGTTATATACATTGTGAAAAGGATAAAGAGAGAAAGAACAACATTTGGAATCTTATAACGTTCGTCCAAGCCCATACAGTTATCAAGTCAAGAAAAGAAAAAGAAAAAAGAAGTCCCCTTTCTCGTCAACTTAAAAGAAAATTTTGAATTTCCTTAAATCAACTTTTAGCTGTTCATCTTAAAGGAAGGTGTAACATGGCTGCCGCAGGGGAAAAAATCTACAACACAAAGGACCCTGGGTAACAGGTAGGTGAGCTTGACTGAGAGAGTGAATCCATTGTTGGGAAATGATAAAACTCACCAATAATCCAAATAGGGTATGCTGACCAACCAGTTGCATTGGGGATAGTTTTTCATATTGGAGGCTAGTATTAGCCATTTGTTCTAGTGAGAATCACTCTGAAGAAACAACTATCATCAAAAGCCATTTATATTATTACTGAGTTCAATCTTTCAGGTAAGAGGGATTGTTCATTCTTTTAGACTTTAGGGCCACCCAAAAACCAAAAGAAAAGGGAATGTTCATTCAAAAAAGTGGAACCAAAGGAAAAGTTAAAACAATGAACAAACAACTTCCTAAATAAATTATGGTTGATCATATAAATTATATGATATTACGCACAAAATATTAAAAAAATTCGTAACATTCATAGCTAAAAAACGTACTCGAGTCCACAATAAGATAATTTGTCTTCCTTCGCAAATCCACATTGCCTACTCCAGCCAGTAAAAATCCAGTTACTGTGTCCTACATCAGATAAGTTACAAATCTGTAAGAATTTATGTATTATTGATTGATGTTATTGATAGATATCTGATATGTTGTGTTGATTACAAGGATTCCTATTATATAGGAGAGGATTTGTGTAGTAGGTGAAGAGTAGGTGGTGGTAGGTGATGGTAAATGGGGGGTAGGTAATGGTAAATTTTAACAGCCCCCCGCAAACTCAAGGAGGATAGGAACTAACCAACTTGAGTTTGGAGAGAGTAACAAAACAAGAAAATACATAAAAATATAAAGAGGATATGGTGACACTGTTACTGGTCGTGTCAAACATGTTGGTGAAGACACTGGGACTATGGGTGTCAATACGTGTGGAGGAATCTGTATGGGGGTGTAAAACGGTTGTAGAGGACAATGGACTGGCGGTGTCAGAACCGATGTAGAAGAGCAGTTTATGGGGTCCATGTCGGACCGTTTAGAAGACATGTTTATGGGGTCATGTCGGACCGGTAGAAGACAGTTTATGGGGGTCATGTCGGACCGTTGTAGAGGAACTAGTTATGGGGTGTCATGTAGCGTTGTAGAGAGACAGTTTACGGAGTACGTTGTAGGACCTGTATGAGAATAACCGCAATGTCGGGACAGTTTAAGAGTCTTGTCGGACCATAAAGGAACTAACCGGAATCAATGTCGGGAACGTTTAAGAGTCTTGTCGCCCTGAAGGAGCTACCGGAATCAATGTCGGGACAGTTTCAGAGTCTTGTCGGACCTTAAAAGGTCCAGACCTCAAAAGGTGTGCCCAATTTTCAAAAGCGTGCATCAAAAGGCGTGCGCCACTATCCATAAGAGTGCCATGAAAGGCGTGCCAAGTTTGTCGGCGTAAGCGGCGCCGACGCTATGCGCGTGCTGCCTCTCGTAGTAAGACAGAGCGCTGAGGCTGAGGCAAAAACCTCTGAAGAATCATTTCTGAGAGAGATTTCTGAGAGAGTCTCGGTAAATACCTCTGTTGCCTAGAAATGGCTTCATCGGTCTTCCGGCTGCTCACGCCTCTTTCCGACCTCAACGAGTCAACAGAGAGAGAACTGTGCGGTGCTGGAACTCAACCAACCCTCTGATTTTGCTCCGTTGAACTTTCCGATGCGGTCGGTGGAGCAAAATGGCGTGCATGATGAGGAGGCCAATCAGTATATCTGAAGCATGTGTGGAGATGACGGCGGTCACAAACTGTGCACCGGCTGCAAGAGACAAATGAGGTGCAGCATCAACCCAACTGCTCTGCTCCAACGCATGTATAAGGATGCGCGAGCAGAGATAAGTGTGCTAGGCAGAAAAAAGGAGCTGAAGCGGAAGGCCACCGTGATGTTCCGATTTGGAGGTCCGCCATATGCGTGCAGTGGAGGGAGGGGGAGGAGACTGCTGGTGGACAAGGAACAGCGAGGCTGGGCATGCACGGGACATTCCAGATGATAATATATTATGGAAGAAGAGACCTGCAGTAGAATAGAGAAGGGAAAAGAAAAATGCCATGTGGGTGTGGTTGTTTTGTTTGTGATTTTTTTTTTTGTTTTTTTTTTGAATGTAAAATGGTGATCGGGGTGAGCCCCGAGATGAATAAAATGAGTTTGGTCTGCAGTCCGTCTTCGTCTGTTTTGTTGTTTTTTTTTTTTGTTTTGTTTTGTTTTTTTTTTTTTTTTTTTTTTTTTGTTTTAACTTTGAATATCAGAACAAATAAAAAAAAAGGGAGATGTTTGTTTTGGAAGGGTAATCAAAATATATTTGTGGGTGTGTAAGGGTGGAGAAAAAGTGTCAAAGAGCACATGGAGTCTGAGTGGGTGCATAAGAAAAAAAATAAAAGGAATGAGTGAAGAGAGGGTGTTATGTTTACAGAAAAGAAGAGTGGTGGAATAATAAAATGGTTTTTCTTTTCTTTTTTTTTTTTATAAATAATAATAATAATAATAATATATTAATTGAAGGCATGTGCGCTGGGAGACACAATAAAAAAAAGGGAGATGTTTGTTTTGGAAGGGTAATCAAAATATATTTGTGGGTGTGTGTAAGGGTGGAGAAAAAGTGTCAAAGAGCACATGGAGTCTGAGTGGGTGCATAAGAAAAATAATAAAAGGAATGAGTGGAGAGAGGGTGTTATGTTTAAAGAAAAGAAGAGTGGTGGAATAATAAAATGGTTTTTTTTATTTTTTTTTATTTTTTTTATTTTAATAATAATAATAATAATAATAATAATAATAATAATAAGAAGAATATATTAATTGAAGGCATGTGCGCTGGGAGACACAACCTTTGGAGAATCAACCCAAATGGCAAAGAACAGCTTGCCGAAGAAAGGGCCCCATGATTGATACCCACTGTTTATGGCATAGGAAACACCGGCCACTATACCCACCAAGTTAAAAATAAGGACTGTGGTGGGAGGGATGAGAAGAGACGTCCATTTGAAGAGGTGGGGTTGACGTGGCCGCCGGAGATGTTAGCTCCGATCGAGACGGCGACGAAAAGAGCAAAAACATGGACGATGGCAGCAGAGATGACGCCGGAGGGGGTGGTGCAGACGCTGGGGAGGCCGGAGGCGATGGCAGCAGAGATGACGCCGGAGGGGGTGGTGCAGACGCTGGGGAGGCCGGAGGCGCGTGCGTAGCCCTCGGCTGTTAAATGTTCTTGATCTGCACCGGAACAACTCCATCGGCGGGAGAGATGTATTGCTGCTGCTGATGATACTGATGAGGCCATGATGTCGAGATCCAGATACGGATTAATATCAGCGAACAGATATTCCGAAGACTTGAGATCAGTACTGTTGTCGACGATCTTATGGTTCGGATTCGGAAGCAGCCACAACGCCGCTTCGGATTCGGGAAGAGGAGATTGGTGCACTGGTATGTGGGTGAAAAGTATGAAGGAAGGAAGGAGAGAGAGAATTAGAAAATTTGGGTTTGTCCGGCGGACGGCCAAGGCGAGGCTGCCGCCCGCCGGTGAAGCGGAATCACTAAGTTCTTAACCTGGCTCTGATACCATGTAAGAATTTATGTATTATTGATTGATGTTATTGATAGATATCTGATATGTTGTGTTGATTACAAGGATTCCTATTATATAGGAGAGGATTTGTGTAGTAGGTGAGGAGTAGGTGAGGGTAGGTGAGGAGTAGGTGGTGGTAGGTGATGGTAAATGGGGGGTAGGTAATGGTAAATTTTAACAAAATCAGATAAACTCTAACAGTAGGAGGACCATTTCAGGAGACATCTTAAAGAACTCAACAATGATAACACGCTGACACAAAGATGAAACAATGAGCAAATTGAAACATAGCTGATGATAGATGTATGAGCAACTTGCTAAGCCATATGATTAATAATGTATCTACAATCTACATTTATCCCATCATGAAATCATAAAGAGAAGAGATAAAATAAATCAACCCCACAGACTGACAGAGTACTTGCGGCATGCTAGTTTGCACTTGAACATTAGAGAGAGAGAGAGAGAGAGAGAGAGAGAGAGAGAGATTAAGGCTCCATTCAATTTAGTTTTTAAAAAGAGTTTTGAGTTGTATTTTGAAAGATAAGTAATTGAAAAGAGTTATGAAAATTGAAAATTTGTTTGGTTATATGTGTGAAAATAGTTTTGGGATGATTTGTAGTTTATTTTTTAAATTTTTTTTAGTTGAATGATTGATTGATTTATTAATAATATAAATAAATAAATAAATAAATAAGAGGAGAGAGGAGAGAGAAAAAACAATTTTGAAAGGAGTTTTGAAAGTTGGTTAACCAAAAATGTTTTTTGCTTTTTTGATCCAAAAGTTAATTTGGAAACTAAACCGAATGACATTCATAACCACTTGTAGAAGGGTCGTACTTGAAATTTGAAAATACCGCCAAAATTGCCTTGGCGGGAAGAACACTTTTGAAAAGGGAAGATGGGCAAAATTCTAACAAAAATGGGTCAAAAGCAAACCGTAAATAGTCTGTGAAAGGAACCCGTATGAGAACCATCACAGGAACCGCAAGGCCACCCCAAAAGGAGAGGTGAAACTAACTGAGGCAAGACTTGCTGAGGTGAGACCAACTAAGAGAAGACTTACCGAAGTGCAAACAGCTGAGGGAAGACTTACTGAGGTACAACCAGCTGAGGTGAGACCAACCGAGGCACAACTAGCCGAAGTGAGACCAGCTGAGGCAAAACCCTATGCGAGAAAAGCCCTTGAGGTAAATTAAGTTCCTGAGGTGCCCCCCAAGGGCCAAGGTCCCCTTAGAGCTGATAGCAGGCTCAGGGTATCAAAATGACATAATTCAGAACCACAACTCTCATGAAGATGCAGAATGCGAGATATGAAAGTTAGGAGTCTCCTTCCCATAAAATTATCCAGGCCAAAGGAGCCTACCCTGGTCAAGATGGCAAGACCCAGGAAGTCCATGAGGTATAGTCTAGTTGATACAAGGCTACACTATGATACTTTACCAGGATGTTGGGGAGCTTGTGGCTTGGTGGCTAAGAGTAGGGGTTTGCTGAAGTAGTTGCGAGTTTGGCTGATACAGGCTACATTTCCCAAGTAAGGTTTTACCGGGTGACGTCTTACCAAATGAGTTCCTAGTGAGAGACTTAGGTAGTGCCTAAAGGGAAAGACAAAGGGAAGCACGTACTCACCAAGGCGTTGCATCTAGGGAAAGGAATATGCCCACGTGATCTCTGAGACAGGTAGCATCACCCTATTAGCCACTTGGCCACTTGTGAGCCAGGGAAACGCCTACAAATAGGAGTCATTTCCCACATCTCTAGGGTGATGATTTGGGGATTCCCATAAGCTTGAGAGACTCTTTGGGATCCTCGTAGCCTGATGAGAGTGAAACTGGCAAAAAGAGGGAGCCTCGCCACTGCCATTACCTTTCCTGATTTGCTTGCCCTGCTCTCACCCAGCGACTCTCTCCTCTGTCCCCTGCTTACTATTCAGATTACTTGCCTCACTGATGATACATATTGTTGTATGAACACCATACATTTTCCGACCTCCTACACTCCAACACAGTCGACTACCCTATAACACATGAACGTAATTGCTATGAGCAACTAAAATCATGCAGTAAATTATGTAGTTAAGACCATTCAACTTGGCTTATTTGAGGTCAATTGAAAAGGATTTGAAGCCAAATGGACATAGCTTTTCAGGTTCATAGGCTCATACCCTCATAATACATCTTCTGCACATGGGCAACTGTGAGAGCCAAGTTTTGTTCTCACTAACTCAGCCACAGCACATTTGCAACTCCAGTTTAGAAAATGACGGTTGATGAGGACTGCGTGAAAGAAAAAAAATTGTGCAATGAAAGGATAACTCATAAAGAGAAGCCCTCAACAAGTCACACTCACCAAATCTTCTTTTGAAAGAAAAAACTTGTGCTGTCTTTATTACGTGAAGAAAGATAACCACAAACTCAATCGAGCAAAATATTAAGCTGGCACAACGACAAGATACGCCACAAGGTAGCATCTTTTGTAAATAGAAATGACAACAAACTCAATCAAGTAAAAAATAAAACTAGCCTAATGCGAAGATATGCCACAAGAGAGCACATATATTTTTGTAAAATTAAATAAAATAAAGGAGTCACATACCACATAAAATTCATCCACTTTAGCAAAGGAAAATTTATGAGAATGTCAGATATTGCTGTGAATAACTCACGTAAAAACTCAAGCTAAAAGCTAAACATAGAAAATGTGCTAAAGTCATATTGTACATCCAATGAAAAAGAAGCACTTTAGAAAATAAATGTGAAGGCATGCAAGTGCATCACTTCAAAACTCAAGCTAAAAGCTAAACATAGAAAATGTGCTAGAGTCATATTGTACATCCAATGAAAAAGAAGCACTTTAGAAAATAACATGTGAAGGCATGCAAGTGCGATTCTTTGCACAAAATAAAGTGTATAGGCATGAAAGTGCATTGCCATAGATGATTTTTGAGCAAAGCACCAAATAGCCATGAAAAAGAGGTGTCAACAATCCATAATAGATGAATCCCCTGCAGTTCTGGCATATTCAGAAACTTTATTCTATTTGCTCTGGAAAATTATATCTGTTTGGTTCAAAGCCAAAATCAATAACTTAGTTTTTATCAAAACAAAGTTTGTTTTTATTTAAACATACTATGAAAGTTGTTTGTATACAATTGTGGGTGGGAGAGAGACTTGAAGAGGGATAGAGAGGAGGGAAAAAAAATGATATTAGAATGCAACATTTAAAGAAAAATTGTGAATTTATTTGGCATATTTGTGTAGAACAAAATAAAGAATAAAATAAAATTTTCCATAGTAGTAATTTTTATTTTATTTTTTTTGATAAATAAAAATTAAATAAATTTCCATAGTAGTAAAGTTGATGAGTTTTAGTACATATCATGTTGGGAATCAAGAAAGAGGTGGATTGAAGACGAATATTAGGAGCAAGAAAAATCAACTGAACGATTACGGATTTGATTAGGAACTTTAGGAGATTTAGGTCCTGTTTGGTGGAGCTTTTTTTTAAGTTAAAAGCTGATAATCAGAAAGCAGAAGCTAAAAGCACCCCTATCCCAACTTCCAAATGATCAGTTTTTTTCAGCTTATTTACGCTATTTTGTCTAATAAACTATAAGTAGAAGTTGCACCAAACAGTCTGGCACAGACTCCCAAATCAAAATAAGTTATAATCACCCCCAAAAACTGTAACAAACAGTCCCTTAGTCTTATTAGGATGTTGATTCTATTTTTTGACTTATTTCTAGTTTATTTTCCCTTACTATATAACGCTTTTAAACTTATATGTGGTGCTGCATCACTTCACCTACAAATTAATTGGAGAAACAATGAGTAGAACTATTGAACAGCTATGTAAATATGAATTATAATGTCAAATAGGAGAAAATTGTGTATGTGTGTGTGTGTGTGTGTGTGTAAATAGAAAGCATTAAAAATCTAGATCCACAATCTGTCGGCAAATTCAACCCTTTCCCCACAAATCTAATTGGAAATTTCAAACCAAAAACCTAAAGAAACCTTCCATGCCAAAACCCAATAGAAACATATATATATATGTATACATATTTTTGAAAACAACAGCAATCTGTCACCAAACTAAAAACCATAACAAACCCTAGATCATGATCTGATATATAAGCCGCATGCCTGCAATCACCAGGTATGAATGGGAATGCAAAGTTCAGCTTATGGTGGCCAATCACTAGTGTGATGAGAAGAAGCTTATCGTGAGCAAGTGGATTTTTAAGTGAGAGTAACACGAGTAAAGGAGGGTGACCATTGGTTCGATGGTAAAAACCTAAGCCTAATAACCTTGAGGTTATGGGTTCAAGTTTCGGGGCAACTTCTTTGTGCCCTATGCCAAAGGTTAGATATGTACTCAATCTTTTCCTTCCCAAACACAAATTAATGTTTACTAATTGGGTTTTTTAGTAACACAAGTAATGAAGAACTACCTCCCCCGTGTTTCGCATGTGTCCTCATTTCCACCCATAATAAGGGAAGTTACCAAACAAAAGACACAATTTCAACAAACTAGTTTTGGGGTTTACCAACAACCCTTTATAAGAAGCTTTGTTCTATAGAATTAGACATTGCGGATACTTTCTTTTTTTTTTTAGTCAGATTCTATGTATACTTGAATACTCCATCATCATCGATCTCTCCCTAATAAGAGTAGATCTGTTATTTCAAAATTGAAAACTCCAATGCTTTCTACCTATAATAGACAAACATACACATACATATACATGCATATACATATGCGGAAAATTATTAGGTACTCCAGGAGTATCGCGTGGCTATACTCCCTCACTAATCATCATTCATTATGCCCCTCTTATTTCTTAATTACCCAGCACAATATCAAATACCTCACCTTCTCCACCAATTATACTACCAAGAAGTACGACATGGTTGTACTCCCGAACTACCCAATAATCACTCTACATATGCATACATGTGTATATATATTGTATACACTCATAATGAACAATTTTGTTTTTTGATAAGTTAACAGTCAATATTGGTCAATGCTATGTTACCTAAAACATGGATCATTCTGGTATATGAAACTAGAATGGGAACGTGGTATGCCACATACTCTAAAATGTGGTACTATACTATACTTAAAAATTGAAGATATATGTAGAGAAATTTTCTTTTAACTATTAGGCATCCAATAAAATGTATTTTTAATTTTCTTTTCCATTTTTGATATTTTTGTCCTGTGAAAACTTAACTCGCTTTATATTTTAATTCATTATATTTGATTTTTTTTCCTCTTAAGAAAATATTTAAGGAAATATATTGGAAAAAAAATTTTGTGATCATTTTGGATCACTAAATTTACTGTTTTAGAATAGAAGTGTACCATGTTTCGGAACGAACGTACCAATACATAATTTGCTAGGGTATTAACGTTTTCTAGTAACACAGAGTCAATGTACATCCGCGTATTCACACACACACACAACAACAACAACAACAACAACAAACAACATAATACTTGGGGAAGTGTAGATTTGAAACACCAGAACTCAGTAGGGCATTACACTAAGAAGAGGGCATAACTCAGATCAAGTAATGGCAAAGTGCATCTGTAAGTTGGATTATGGACCGAGGGTCTAAGCGCAACAGAGCTAAAGATGATCAAGGCTTTCTTTATGTTTTTCCCTTCATTTTTCAGAGACTGCTTAAACTATTGTTTTCTTTAAAACATGCTTAGATCTTCGATTAGGGTACAAATTTGTGAAACATAAGGAAAAGAAAAGGAATTTGTGAATGAAATATTTTCACAAATCCCATCCTTTTTCTTTTTTTTTAATAAATTTAAATATTTAAATACGGCCATAAGAAATCGGGTTTTCAACATACAGGAGAGACATAATAAGAGTATCAAAATTTTCAACATTACAAAAAAGAAAGCGAAAATCCTGTATGTTCAACCAATTAACTGTAAATTAATCACAATTGTAAGCACATATAAAAGAATGATAAAAAATTGGAATAAATTCATAGGAACACGCATTCGACAAACAAGAAGGTTTGATTTGAATCTACAACATTGGATTTAAAACAAACAAACAAATAAAACAACGAATTTCAGAGGCAAACCTGTCGTTTCGATTGTTGTACTCGCCTCGGATTGCTCGAAAATCTAAATTCTGGTCTAATTCCCACTTTGGTTGTTACATTTTTTTTTAAATTTTATTCCTAAAATTGTCTAATTTTCTCAATGTGATCTAATTAGCAATTGATATTTGGGCAAGTTCGAAAGTTACAATACGGCAAAAAAAAAATTTAAAAATTTAAAAAAAAAAAGAAAGAGTCAAGGTAGTGTTTGGTAGAGTTTTATAATTTGATAATAGAATTGTATTTTGAATTTGTAAGTTTTGAAATTATGATTTGACTGTGAAAATTTTGTTTGGTTATGAGTTTTGAAAAGAGTTTTAAATTGAGTTTGAATTAAGTGATGTGACATATGATATTTGATACAAAAATTTACAATTTATAAATAAATACACAACTCAAAATTATATTCATAACTTATAACCAAATACATAACCCAAAATTTTATTCAAAACTCATAAAAAATTTCACAAATATTTTTTTTTAATATAAAAATAATAGGTGAAAAAATATATATATAAGAAAAAAAACCGAACACTGTTCCGGTCAACTGGTCAAACGACCAATAAGATATCCTGTGGAATGACCAGTTAGTCCAAATTTTCCTGCCTTGGAAAGAGTTTTCAAAAATAAATATAGAATTAATTTTTAAAAACACTAAACAAACACCACACTTAAAAATGAGTGTGAAACTATATTTTGAAAATTTCAACAAACAGAGCCACCTTTAGCATATTTAACTTTGGTGGTTTAAGTAGTAGCTAAATTACTAAACGTATTGCTATATTTTAATAATAAATAGTGTTAACAAACTAAAATTTAACAAATGTTGTAAATCAGATCCAAAAAAAAAACAAATGTTGTAAATGTTATTTTTTCTGTTTTTCCCAAATAAAAAATATTATACACAGATCAAATCTTTAAAACAGGGTGACAAAAGAAGTTGCCAAATTTTATGCCAAATTTAATTTGCAATGTTCAAATCTAAGAGTTTCTTTGCTTTAAACCAATAGTAGGAAGCTCAACTTTTTTTTTTTCTCTCTCCAACAACCAAAGCTACCATATATTAATAGGAGTAGCTTCCAGACGGAAGGGTGTTGTTGGACTCGTGGGGGCTCAATCGTTCAATATGTAAAACTCATCGAGTACTATATGCTGTAAAAAATCACGTAAATCAGATATCGATAACTATGTGATCAAATTAGTTTTGTATAAAAAAAAAAATGACAGTGAACAAATTATCTATTGACAGAAAACTGATCCAATAAGATAGCTATCGATATCCAATCAACATGATTTTTTACAGGCATATAATACTCGACGAGTTTTACACATTGAACGGTTCAAATTATCGAAACGAGACGCATGATAGACCCCCACAAGCCCAACAACGTTCGATCTAGGATTGGAGGAAAGGTGCTGCCCACTAGTACTTTTTTTAACTTATTTTAAATTTAGCTCAAGGTTTATCTATATATAAATTTTGACAAGGCCCATTTATCTCTGCATCTCCCATGGAAAGACTCACATATAACATTTTAATTCCATATCATGTTAAAAATAAATAAATAAAAAGTCACTCCATACAACATATAACAACAGTTAATTATTTTGCTATTGAACCGTTGAAGATGATCAAATACAAGATTTAACTAGTCATTAACAGTAACAATAAGCTTTTTACTATAAGCTTTTTACTATGTGTCACGACCCAAACTTACAATGTCAAAATGTCATAATTTGACAATATTACTTCAACAATGCATACATTTTTACTTCATTGTTTTTTCACAAAAATTCAAATATAAATAGCAATTTCGAGTCCATCATAAGAGATATGGAGAGAACTCGTGACTTCACATGCCATCTTGGTCAATGATACACCTATTTAAATGCCAGAAACAATGAAACCTTAGAACATTGATACTGAATCACCTTTTTTCTTTTTTTTTGGATTCCAATATCATATATAGAGAACCCATATACAAACAACAGTAAAGAACAAGCAATACACAAATTTCATATAATGTTCACACTAATTTCCTCTTTCTTTTTTTTCCCCCTTTCTTTTGGGAGGTGGAGATGCTAAGCCGAATCAACCGAGTAATACAACAAAATTACATCAGCATACTACAGAAAAAATGTAATGTTCCAAGCGACCGCAACACAAAGTAAGAACGATTATGTTCTACAAGTTGAAATTTATCAATGCTGGATTTTGAGGCCAGATTGAACACCCGATTGAACTTTGCCAAAGAAATGGGTTTCCAGCCTGCGCAACAACCGGTCTAAGGTTAGAATTACAATCTTTCATCTTCTTCTTGATGAGTATAATAACTATGTAATAGTATCAAAGTGAAAAAAATAATCAAAAAAGTAAAAATAAAAAAATCTGGGGAGTGAAGAGCACCATGCCTGCTTGCGCATTTATAATAGATCGTTTCAGGACAGATGTAACATTTGCCATTAAACTTGTACTTTTTATTATTCCCCCCTTTAGAGCCTTGTGATGAACTTTCTCCAGAAGACTTTCGTTTCTTGGTTTTTGAAGCATGTTCCGCCACATTTGCCTTAGACTCCATAAGATGCTTACCAACCCGCTTTTCAGAATTGCGGTTGTCCTCCTCAATTCTCAAACGCACAATTAATTCGTCCATAGAAATTTCTTTGCGCTTGTGTTTGAGGTAGTTCTTGAACTCCTTCCAGCCTTTTGGTAATTTTTCAATTAAGGCTGCAACTTGGAAGGATTCACTGAGAGACATGTCTTCTGCGTGAATGTCATGCAGAATGAGTTGGAAATCTTGAACTTGGCCGATCACAGTTTTTGAATCAACCATTACAAAATCCAAGAATCTGCCAACCACAAATTTCTTTGAGCCGTCTTTAAGCCGGCATCTTCCGTTTTGGTACTTTTTTCCAATGATTCCCAAAGTTCTCTTGCTGTCATTGATTGGACTGTAGACATTGTATAATGTGTTGTCAAGTCCGTTCAAGACGTAGTTTCGGCAAAGGAAATCGGCATGTTCCAAGCATCAACCGCAGCAACCACTTGCCGGCGGTTTCATCCTCTTTCAGGATAGGAGCATCTTCACGGAGAAACGAGCCAGGTTCAGAGTTGTAAAATAGAACACATTTTTGTTGCCATCTTTTAAAAGTCAATCTCCTGAGAACTTCTCTAGCTTTCTCTCCATGATTATTGGTACTGTCATCACAGGAGAGGGGGTTGTGCAATTGCAGCCACAACAGTAGTACTTGTTTGGGCATTTGTTTCAGTAGCCATCAAATCTAATTATATAAAACAAATTTATTAATTAAATTTTCACTACACGAGAAAATTAAACAAATTCACAGAATTCAAATTCTGTAAAAATAAAAGAAACAAGAAAGTAACTTTTATTTCCAATTAATTTGAAAATAAAATAAAATTTTATTTTAAACAATTATTCCACAACAAAAAAATAATTCTGTAAAATAAAAGAAATAAAAACTAATAACTTTTTTTTTCAATTAATTTGGAAATAAAATAAAATTTATTCAACCAAATTATATTCCACACAGAAAATTAATTTCTATAGCACTTCAATAATTAAAATCTAAAACAGAATTTAAGTAATGAAAACTCAGAAAAATAATTTCTAAACCCAAAATTAATTTCTGAAAAAATTTCACAAAAATATATCTGAATTGTTAATGACACCAGTATCGTACTGCTAGTTTTGTCAAAGAAAAGAGACAATATATTTACTACATCTGTCAAATAGCATATAATCACTATTTATTTTCCAACCAGAATATTATTTTGTAAATCCACAGAAAATAAATTTTATTCTCCGAAATTATTTACGAAGATGAAAAAAGGGAAACCCAAACGAAAAATAATCTGTAAACAGAATAATTCGAATCTGTCTTAAGATTGTTGGAACACATCTTCTGTGTAAATAAAAATAACTTAAAAATAATTCAAACAAAATAAAATAAAACTTACAGAATTTATTTTGTTGAACCGAATCAATAATTTAAAGACCAAGTCGAGTGTGTGACACTCTGTCCTTAAAAACAGATTGCGCCCCGCTACGTGCTTACGGTTAGTGGCGTCTAGGATACAATGATCTTCACAAATTTGTTAGTAGCACTTCAAACAAATTTGTTCGACGAACCAGAAACCTTGTGTTCTATAACCTCTGAAATTTTTTAAATAATATGAAGAATAAAGGACGGCAAGAGAGCAAAATGAAGGCAAGGAAAATGAATTTTCGGAATCCAATCAAAATTGGAATGGAGCTGCCTTTATATAGGCTTTGTTAGCAACTATTCAATTTGAATAGAAAAAGGTATGAAGAATGGACATACCCATTCCTTTAAAATAAAGAGACACCATGAAAGGTTTGCACCCTTTCATTCAAATGGATGTTTGACCCTTCTTTTTAAAACAAAAAGACATCATAAAAAGTTACACCTTTTCATTCAAAATAAAGTCTAATTTCAATTCACAACTACCTCTTATAAATTTCCAACAGTTCACACTAATTTCCTCTTTCTTTTTTTCCCCCTTTCTTTTGGGAGGTGGAGATGCTAAGCCGAATCAACCGAGTAATACAACAAAATTACATCAGCATACTACAGAAAAAATGTAATGTTCAAGCGACCGCAACACAAAGTAAGAACGATTATGTTCTACAAGTTGAAATTTCAATGCTGGATTTTGAGGCCAGATTGAACACCCGATTGAACTTTGCCAAGAAAATGGGTTTCCAGCCTGCGCAACAACGGTCTAAGGTTAGAATTATAATCTTTCATCTTCTTCTTGATGATATAAATACATGTAATAGTATCAAAGTGAAAAAAAAATCAAAAAAGTAAAAATAAAAAATCTGGGGAGTGAAGAGCCCATCGCTTGCGCATTTATAATAGAAGCGTTTAGGAGAGTTATGCGTGCATTACCAAACATCCTTCTTGGCATCAGCAACAAACATCTCAAAGTTACATATAATGCTT